TCTTTTTGGATGCAATGGTTTTTTTATATTGACATGGGGATTTTTAGAACCAAAAATTCTACAGTTCTGCTTCACGAACCTTCTTCACGAATTTTCGTATACCTGTGGCGGACGGATCTTTATTCCGACCAAATAGTCTTCGCAAAGTTTCTGCAGCACAGTACTTTGAAAATAGTTTTTCAATATTTCCCATCTTTGTTCAAGATTAAAATGGTCCATTGCTCACAGCGAAAGTTTCACATAATATATCTATCAATATATTGAGCATGGAAGTGTTACCAACTGCCAAGATAATACCAACTTACAAAAACCAACTAATGGCCACCCTTTAGAAAAAGTGAATGGCTGCACGTTGAATTACGAAAAAGGCTCATATGGACACAGATCCGAAAGTCTATAATTTAGAAAAAATTTAGCGTCCGCTGTGTTTAAATTAACCTATGTTGAACGTTGTAGTGCAACTATTAGTGTTACCATAGTACTGTCAATTTATTTTCAATTCTATTTCAGAATTACCCTCTGAAACATCAAAGAAGGAAGTTTGAGCGATTTCTATTTTTTGTTTTTGCCTTGTAATTCCGCCGCCACTGGGCCGCTTTTTTAAAACTAGATTTTTGTCCTTGCAATTGTGAAATTGTGAAAATTTCATCCAAATCCTAGCGGTACTTTCCAAATTATAGACGCGTTAAGGATTAGCAGACAGACAGAACGAAGGAAAGGACGAAAAATCATAATATCTGATTATGAAATTTTTAGCGACTACAATACGTCCTCACCAGTAAGTGTGGGAAGTAAATGAAACAAGATTAACTCAAATCATAACATTCCATCGTTGGTGATTCTATGATTTATCAAAGTTCAATATTTTTTAAACAGAATCACCGAACAACTAATCATCAAACTCTATTGTCTCCTCTATCAATTTTTGTCTGTCATGGGCATCTATCCGAAGATGCACTATACTATAGGCCATTTTAGCTTTTTAGCATAATGGTGAATATTATACGTAAACTGTACCCTCAGTGCGATAATCCAAAAAAAATCTTATCAAAAAGCTTTTTGTATAAATGATGTACCATCCCACTTCTGACAATAACATAGATCACAATGGTACAAAAGTTCTCATGATTATATTCTATTCGAGTATTCTATGAACACGAAAGGCGTAAGCGGATGATATATATGTAAGTGGAGACAACAAAGCCAGTAATAGAGCCATACCGCAGCATCGGACGCTTCAATCTTAAAACTCAATTGAACTTGATACGATTTGCCACCCGATTAGCTGGAACTGAGTAACGCGCAACCACGTTGCCATATGGGGTGATTACGAAGAGGATCTACAGAAAGTGCATTGCAGAACATTATAAATGGTGTCAAGGAAGTTGACTTAGTATTTCACAGTCATTCATCTACCTTCAAGCGGTACCTACATACATACCTTACGCCTGAACGTGCACCAAGACGAGTTAAGAAGTCAGGAAACAATAAAATGTTACATATTAATTTTGTATGCAAAAAGAATTGATTTACGCAACCTGAAATATGAAACTATTCAAAATACTAGATCGATAAGCTCTCTTAAAGTATTTTTCGAGCAAATATGAAAAACTTTGAAAAAGTTTTTTTAAAATGTCCTCCGGTAACTTCTTGGTCGTTCGGAAAATATCAGGAACCTGAAAGCATGAAAATATGGAACAAGAGATAATGTCATTTTATCTTTATTTAGAATCAACCATATCTACATCAATTTCCAAATGTTTCAACCACTATTCTCTGGGAGCGGATTTCATAGTGGGGATGGCCTGCGCAAGCGATGGATAAAAAGAGAAACATAATCGGTCAGACAGTGGAATGTAGACGTGGTTTCTTTGGTGAAATCTGTGTCATGTAGATACAACTGAGCCCTTTTTTATACTGAAACAGCCGCAGCAGGCAGAAGCCTAAACACCGGGGCACCGCGATTGCAATCAGCAGCATCATTTCTTAGATCAAACGAGTTTGAAATTCAAGTTGTTCTTAACCTAAAATCGACTAAATCTCTGGTATTTTCACTTTTTATATCACACTTGTCAATCAGAAGTATTTCTGTCCGATATCTTCTGGGTGGCGCTGCCATCGCGCTTTCAGTGAGTAGCCAGTATGATATCGCTTTCAAATGTATCAGCGGGGCCGCTTCTATCTACAGCTGAAAATATTATCAAAGTGTCATGTGTTTAGTAATCACAAACGATACAAAAAATGTATTATCTAGTATATTGAAATTTATTGTGATTACTATTCCCTTTGGTTTCTTGTTTCTTAAGCTTAAGAAAAAAGTACATAAACATCTACTTGAGTCCATTTTTACTTCCCATTCCTACTGGCGAAGAAGTATTGACTTCGTTAAAAATTTCGAAAATCAGATATGTTTTTTACATCTCGAAAAACTATGTCACTCATTTTCGTCCGCTTGTCTGTCTTTCGGTCTGTCTGTCGGTCTGCCGGTTTGTACGCTAATCCTTGGCCCATCAATAACTTGGATTTTGATGAAATTTTCACGCAAATTTACTTCTATGTGGAGGACGTAAAAGCCTTGTAGTTTTTGAGAATGTCTCGAGTGGCGGCGAAGAAAAAGTCCAAAAACACAAAATTAAAAATCGCCTAAACCTGGTATTTGGACGTTTCAGAGGACCCTGATCATTTTTGAAGAAAAAATCCGCCGAAAATATTGGGCGGCGAAGGTTGTGGGGGGGTAGGAGAGGGTGTATCGCAATTTTTTGGTGGCAGAGTATTTATAAACTTTAAATAAATAAATAATTGGTGAATAAATGTTTTGTATACTTGCGCTGTCGGCGCGAGTTTTGTACTGAAGTTTGTCATGACGTTCCTTCTCACGTTTGATGTGATCTGATACACAAGCTGATTAGGTTTAGTTTAGGTTTGATATCTATTTTACTAGGAAGAACCGCTTATTTTCAAAAGGTCTGTACGCCGAGTATGTTCCAACTTTGCGGACACCCTGTATTACATGACCACTTGTAAGGATTTCCATATACGACCAATAGTAAACCTACCAGAACGTACTCAAAGCCCATGATTTCAATTTTGGCTAAGCAATGCTTTTTTAAGTGATATTCGTTCTACTCTATGGCCTTAGAGTACAATGGTTCACATAGCCAGAAAACTACAAGTATACCAGATTGTACAGAAATTGACTCCGATACTATACTTGATGCATATTCAAAATTCATTTGTTCAGAATTGCGTGGAAGGTACAGCGTCAATCTACTTGACGACATTTTTTTCATCCAGGGCAATGCCCCCAAACTGATCATCTATTAGTTTCTCCAGCTTCAGAAAAACCATTCAGGAGAGTAGGCAACACTGTATGGCGCATGAGCATCTAAACAGCAAAAGCCCGGTCAGCTGTGTCAGCAAATTGATGTTTAGATAAAGATGGAAAACTCGGCTTCCAGGGCGCAACCATTGTTAGTCCATAAGCCAGACTAAGCGTTGCTTATCATCATCATCAGACATAGATTTGTCTATAAAATGGAAGTCTCTTAAAACTCAAAAACTGCTGAAAACGATAACCAAGTACCTTTAGCAAGAATAGAATCTCACAGCTTGCTCGCCATGCTTAATCAACTCTTTGAAACATGCAGTCATTACTTGAGCCATATACAGCAAGTTGACTAGCATGGATCCTCATAATTTTCTAACAGAGACATACGGGTATCAACGACATTTTACGAGAAAAAGTTTATAGCCTTGGATGCCAACTGGAGGTAGTCATTTTGAACAGATTTTTTAGACTAATAATATTCACCTGTGAATCTTATATTCGAAAATTTTGTTCGCGCTGTACGTTTGAATAATGACATCATTTTCAAAATTCCTTAATGTGCAAAATAGTCTTTAAATAATTCAGAGGATGACCTTTTTGATTTCTGGCCCATGTTGCAGAAAGTCCTCTTCTAAAGTCCTCGCTAAATACATTGGATCTACCCTCGGATTTGCATAAGGAAAAGTGTTATCTTTATCGTTTCAAATTACAGGGTGGCAAATATACAAATGGTTGATTTGAACCACCGATATTTTTAAATGAAATGAATTTGATCAAAATTTTTGAGCCCTCTTGCTTTCCTTTTTCAACATTTATTTTGTGTCTAAGTTTAGAAACGAACGTTTCTTTATTTTCACAGAAACACGTCTGAGGAGATCGATTTGTTATTACCTTTTTTAATAACTTCATTGTGTGCCATTGAGGCCTGTAGGTACAATATCCATAAACTAAACCACTATCGCAACCAGGCAATCAGTTATAGAACCTTCTGCTTACTTGGTTGCCTATGGTGGTGTCCCGACTTCTATATCTTTCTCGTTCGTTCACATATTACTAATTCGCTTGGATCATCAGGATCTTGTGATACCAGTGGTTCGTCGTAAACGAGTTTTACGAGGAATGTTGAACTAGTTCAAATAGTTTAGTCATTTTCGTCATAGGAATCTGTTCTTTTGAACTAATTCATTCGCGAACTACACAATACTAGAGATCAAGCGTCCTTAAAACATTATCCGCAAAGCATGAATTGATTCTCTAGCTGCACGTTACGTCGCTCCCTCCTATAATCATATTCCTTGCAGGTTAACTGGTATCTATAGATCCCGGTACATTCGTCAGTGACAGTAAGGGAATTATCTACATATTCTTGATGCAGGCATTAATATTTTTCATACATGTCTTTCAACTTTTAATAAAAGATTGAGCTAAAAGAATATAGGCTGTTACTTATTGGCCATCCTGTACTTTTGTAGTACCTTGCTGGAGGTTTAGATTCATGTCAGAAAAATAAGTTCTGGATAATTTGTGCGAAGCATTTGACCTTCTAAGAATAATCAGCGCAGTTACAAAATTCCTTTGAGCAGCTTGTCTGAGATTTTCTTCTCACTTTCAACCAAAAACATCATCAAGCTCCCGGACCAAACCTATGTATACAGTTCCGCTTTTCCAAGGAAGAAAATCGCAGTATTCGTGAATACACGACTCGCTAAGAGAAATCCCTCTGACCCCACACATCATCATACCTCCCGTCTTCCCCCTTAGTTGCTTACGTCCCCTCATCAACAGCCCCCAACCCCTGTGCTACGCTCTGTCTCCCCACATTGATTTAACCTATATAAGTTTCAACAAAAAATCCCGCGGAATGTATTGTGCCTCAGTGAACCCTCATAACCGTGCTTTCGAATGTGAAATACGCGTCATAATAGCTGCATCAGATCAGGATCATGTAGTGCTATGTTAGTGTTTTGGTTCTACGGAATGGTGGAGGAGCTCCCAGGTATGTAATTATGCTTTTTGGTGAAGTGACAAGAATGCAACGCTGTTATAAATTTGATATGATATATAGCAACAAAGGGCATTTTATAGCAAAATACATTAGTTTACCTTGCTGATATGAATCGCATACCATTCCTGAAGATAAATGTTATTTTTATGCAAAATAACATTTTGTATTTGAGAGTAATTCGCAGCAAAACATGATAGACACATCCGCCTTGTTTTAAAATGTGTATAGTAACGTATGTTTTTCGAATATCGTAGAGCATTTGTTCAATTACTCACAAATACGAAATGTTTGAATTTATTTAGAAGAAAAAATGTAACTTTTGTTTTTTGCATAAAAATAACATTTATTTTTCGGAATTTTTTGTGATTTATATCGGCAAGGTAAACACGTGTATTTTGCTATTAAATGCTCTTTGGACGAACCTTGCATATTGCTCGATAAATTAGTAGTGATGGCCGGAAAACAGGTGTTTTGGGATAAGCAATTGAAAATTCTCACTAAACTACTAGATCGATATACTACAATTTTGTTGTTGTTATTGAGAAGTATGAATCCTACGGATTTGAAGAATTTCAAATATCTGCGAGAAAACATCACCACATTACCAACAAGTGCCAAAGCCTGCATTTTGCCTCGTTTTTCATAAATACCTAAAAATCTTATATTAAAAGTTTCCCCGTTCCTGTCAACACTTTCGATTTAATCCCCAAAAAACACTTTTTCTCATTCTTTGTTGTCACATAGACTAGAGGATGAACTTGCAATTATTGTATTAATTCTGGATGAAAAGAAGAAGAAACGAGAAGAATACGGAAGTTCATGTATTTTGAATTTGACTGGTTGTACAGCACGGAATGTTCCCGCACAAATTCAATTAGTTTTTCAACATTAATGTTTTTGACCAAATATATCAAAATATTCACGAAATTACATAAAAACACGGCCGTGAACATCGAAAAATATCGTTCCAAAACAATGCGATGATCACGGTACGGCGTCGTCGAGTGCATTGGAAACACGGTCACTTCCACGTGCCGACCTAGTGTGAATCAGTTCATCCAAATTCCCATCTTTTTAGTTGCTTCGGGCCAATCACGTGCCGGTCACAGCACTGTCACGTACGGCCAAGTATGAATAGGCCTTTATTCGTTTGTATTTCTTCTAATATAGTTTACTCGATTGCATTTGTGCTATTTTCGCTGTAGCCCCACGAATTCGCATAAATTAGATGAAGACAATCCTGTATGTTTACATTGCACCACAGTAATAATAATAATAATACTTACCGGAGGAAAGATCTACCTTCGTTACGCTTGTGCCGTTGTTTGCAAATTATGCAAGATGTATCATTCCCTGAAATCGTAATACCACAATTATCTGCCAACATTCCTACCTAAAAATACGAATTGAATAACAACTATCAAAAAATTAATGTATGTCCAATCCACTTGTAGTATGCACTTTCATCCTAACTATAGACTGAGATTCTGGAGACAATTCGTAGCTGAAGTCAAAGCTTACAATACTAGTCAATTCATCAGTAGCCGTATATTTTGCCAAACTCCAGAATACTCAAGAGTTTCTGCTATCGACAGCTTCACCTGAATGATGCAACATTTGTCCATCTGTCAAGGCTTCCCTCTTGTTTAAAATTTTCTAGTGGAAGTGTGACAAGTTTCTCCAATTTCTAAAATATACAGCAGAATATGTTTTGCTCCAGTGAACTCTCATAATCGTCCTTTCATATGTAAAACACGCGTCCTGATATCTGCATCATATCTATATCTTGTTATGTTATGTTTGTGTTTTGGTTGTACGAAAGGGTGGAAGTGCTTGCTACTGTTAAGCTGACAGAAGGTTATTTAGATGTGTATATTAATCAAAGTCTTATTGGAAAAGTGAGGCACGCAAACTTGCTCTAAACGTGAAACCGATGATATAATGCTATGGGAATGCAGTACGAATACTTTTGTCATACCGAAGACTAAATACCAGGGTACCGCGGCTGCTATGAGGAGCCTAAGGAAACTTGGATAATCTGATTCTTAATACTGGCTAAAGTTAATGGAAAAGGATGAAGGCTCCTCAGGTAGATTGTAGCACAAGCTAGATACTCTAGTGACGAAGGAGCAGTCGTATCGGCCAGTTATGCCAGTCAAAATTAGACGAGCTTGCGAAGTACTTTGCCTTGGTATGATCTAATTCCTCGAACACCTATAAAAAACTCTTTATAAAGTTTCTATAAAGCTCTAGTCATAATCGTCGTTTCTCTGATAATATATTTCATAGCACAAACGACGCATAAATTCATAACTAATTCCATGACTAATTTATCGAAGAATATAGAAGGTTCTTTGTTAATATAGTGGATCATAAGGTCATAATACATGCGCTACTTGTACTTTGATACTATGGCGACACATTCTTTAGACCCTTCTTCTACATGTTAAGAGGGTGATAATCAATATAGTGAACAAAGATATTCTATTCAATTTTTTTGTACACATTCAAATAGTAAGTGCAGGGTGCCCGTCTTTAATTTTTTTACATGACCTTCCAACATAAAAAGCTGTAGGTATATAAAAGTTGTAGGGTTTTATATGAAGCTTTTCGTGTAATATTTTTTGTATACCGGGTGTCTCAGAAAAGTGCTATTGAATAGACTTGTATTTTTTTAAATGGAACACCTTGTATATTTCCAGTGAAATTTCTGATTCCAAATATACATGGTTTGGTAAACTTGGCCCTACGCCAGATTGTATAGGCGGCCAGATGGAAAATGGTTCGAACTCGGATACACATAAGTGACACACAAACTTTTTGTTTTTAGCCAAAGTAATAGAAATACTCGTAAGTATAAAAAACCACATACATTTGGAATAAAAAAATAGAGACTATCATTTTCCCTGGAAATATACAGCGTGTTCCATTTAAAAAGTTCAACTTTATTCGATAGCACTTTTCTGAAGAAAAATATTACATAAAAAACTTCATATTAAACCCTATAACTTTTATATACATTTTTTTTCTTCTAGAATGTCATACAAAAAAGTTTTATAGTTAGAGAGTGGCCAACTTATAGTCGGACAGTAAGTCTTAGAGCAAAAAAAAAAGTGAGTGAGAGAAGATTGCAATCCCAAACATTATTTTTCTTGACAAAAAATATCACGTCTATCACGTCTTAAAATATACATCCTTATAACATTGAATTTTTAATAGAGTAACTACCTGTTAGCATGCACCCTTGAGGTAGTTGACGTAACTTTCATAATTTTATTCTTCCTCAAGTTACAGACTATCAATTATAACGGTACATAATGAAAAATGTACTATAAAATTGGTCGAACTCACACTCTTAACTGATCCACCTTGACCCTTTTTACTTCCCTTGTCACTATCTAAGAAGTACTGAAATAGCGAAAACATTCGAAAATCATTTGTTTCCGTCGGTATACCTATCTGTCTGTCCACTAATTCTTGAAAAGTACCGGTCGAATTTCGTTGAAATATTCACAAAAGGCTACTGTTACGTCAAGGATGAAAAATCCTTGTAGTTTTTGAAAATCATTTCAGTTGCGGCGGAGCTACGGGCAAAAAATTAGTTAAGTTACTTTCTCCTGATTATTTTCAGAAACAGCTTTTTAGATGTTGGAAATTGGGAATTGGGAATTGGGGGTTTCAGTGGGTACGAGGGTGGTAAATTTTGAATGTTTGGTATCAGTGAAAGACGTTTTATTATTCAAAAATATGTAATCCCGGTAGTTACCCACCGGTTGGATAGGATATCACACATTGTGCATAATATTTACGTTGAAGTGCAAGGATTTTCATGACCGTTCAGGCAGCAGCGGTGGCCGCAGTAGTAGACTCTTCGGTCTCCTGATCAGCCGCCGTGCGCTGTGCGGGTTCGAGTCCTGTCCCAGGAGAAATTTTTCTCTTGGCTATGGATGTTGTGATTGTCCGTAGATGGTAGACGGTCTCTGACTGTCGAACGCGGAGGTACCACCCGGCGGATCTCGTAGGCGGAGCCAGATTGTGTGCATGTTGGATGCACACGTGTTCCCTCGCCAGAGTCCGTGTGGCGTTCCCCCTTTCCCATGTATCTCCCTATAGCCCCACGGTACCCAATGGGGGCTTAGGCCTTAGGCCTTCATGGTAGTTGGAGTAACCTTCGAATAACAAAGATACCGAATTCAAAGTCCATTTGTCTAGAATTGAATGGCATGTGAGTTAATCTATTTGACTCCATTTTTGTTAAATAACCCTATACAATATCTACTATTTGTCTAGTATAATAATGGTAAAAAGCTATATATATATATATACAGCATACAGCTATATATACATATATATAGCAGATACTTTTAATTGGTGAATCATCTTAAAAGCAAGTATTCTATTAAAAATGTCTGATCCTGAGGTATTTGGTGGGACTAAGAATACAGTCCTTGAATGATAGTGATAATACACCGTAATGGCTTTTATTTACAATGTGTATAAATGCAACTTATATATTATCAAATAAAGACATTTAAGTATAATTGACGAAATAAAAATGTATCTTTATAATTGTAAACGAATAATCATGTGATCTCATGAACTTGGAATTAATAATATTCGAGAAAAATGCATGTGTCGTATATTATGAGAACCAATTATTGTCACGAGGTAATCTATTACTTTTTTAATCATAATTTCTAAGTATAGCGTTCGACCTGTGCTGTTTTGTGTTAAAGGTAGCGCATTAAAAAATCTATTTTGTGAAACAAATCTGAATTTCTTATAATCTGACGAACTCCTAACTCGGTGAAACTCATGATGAACGCACTTGATGAAATAAGATGAGAGGCAATTTACTCTCTACCAAGCTTTTACTGGTTATCAGTAACTAATATTTTTGTAACATTCAGAAATTGCAATAATTTGCTGTTTATTGGTTACAAATATTAGTATGAATCATACAGGGATGAAACAAATGAGTTATTTTGTAT